GAAGAACACTGTATTTTAAACACTTGAATAAAAGCTGATGAAATTAGCAAGAGACTCTTAAGTGGGAAAAACAAAGAGCAAGCAACAACATTTGTTGATTGGAGTGGACATGAAGTAGACAGGGCTAGTGTTGCTCTAACTGCCTAAAATCTCCAAGAGCACCCATGTGAGGTCCTTGTATGGCCCCCAGTGGCCTATCACACACAGTCATTGCATGCACAACAGTTGATAATGGGCTGAAGCCAGAAACAATCCGTTGGGCTTTCTCAATATGGCATTCCAGTGGGAAATAAAGCATACAGAAGATGTGGACATTTGAAATTTAAAAAAAAAAAGAAGGAAATATGTACAGATTTTGCTTTCAACAATTCTGATCTTGTTTAGCCTATTTTACCTCCGGTTTCCAGCAAGCCAAGAATATAATTCTGACATTACCCAGAGCAAAGCAGTGCAAAAAAAATGACAATCTATTTATCTGTTGTGGTGACCAGGTTCTCTTCTTCCTTTCCAGCTGCTTTGATGTCATCACTTCAAGGCCACACTGCTTTTAATTTCAGCCAGAAATCTTTGAAAAATGGTAGAATTTTCTGGCCTTTGGGAAGGTGGCCAGCTTTCCTAACCTATATCATTTTTAGCCTGGTAAACCAAGGCTGTTTCTCATCAAGTTTAAATGAAAGCTTGGCTCAACTGTGGGGCCTGCAGAGGAGAGAATTTAGCTCTGGGCCAGAGCTGCTCTCACCTACAGGAGTCCCCGAAGCAGGTTTCAAATTTCCTTGAGTCAAAGCAGGAAGGCTCAGAATGAGTCCGAAATCAAGGGTCAAAATCATCCTTCTTTATCCTTGTGTGTGAAATCAATTTTCTTATAAACACTATTTATTTCCACTCCCCTTTGTGGGTTTCTAGGTATTAAAATGGAATTTCATCTATAGCCTATCCTTTTCTTCCATTCACAGCAATCATTCTTGAACCTGACTGCACAACAGAACTACCTGGAACATTCTTTAAAAAACACAGATTCCTGGGCTCCTTACTTGGGTCACTGAATCCAAATTTCCTTGAATAAAGCCTGGGAATCCTTATTGTTTAAAAGCTTCCCAGGTGATTCTTATGCCCAGGGTTTAATATTCTAGTTATATTTTTCCTTCCTTCCTTCCTTGTGGGCTGCCCTCAAAATCTAAGCACCACATATACCAGTTTTGGAAGAGAGACAACATTCTCCATTCCAAACCCCACCAATTTATAAATAACATTTTGGAAGAAAACATGTCTGTAAATCTGAAACTTCTTGTACAGTTACTGGCACTATAAAGAATCTTAGAATCTGAATTAGAAAGGTGTTATATTCTTTCTTCTCGAAGGATCTGTAGGGAAATAGACATATGTCTTAGTGTACGTTTGCATGCTTTATTTGAAGTCTCTATCTTGTTCAGAATGGCTCAGACATAAAGAATCAAGACATGGCCTAAATCCTATATACACTCAGAGTTCTGAGTCAGGTTGCTATTATCTTTTCCTTTTCTAAACTAAATGACCCAAATTTCCCTTAATCTTTTTTTGTACGAATTTTCCCTGTTCTTTGATTAGTAGTCTCTATTTCTCTTTCAGTTTCTTTAAGCTACTCTTGGTTAGACAACAAAGACTAAAATATCTTCAGGGCACAACTGTACTAATATACTTTACAATTTGAAAACAGTTCATGTATATCTTTAGAAGAATCTAATTTATTACTAGGGAGTGACTCAGACTGGTGGCCCCAAATCTAAAGATCCACAGGTTAAAATTTTGCTTCAAAGTTTGCTTTAGAACTGATTTATGTAGTGATTCTGCTGTATCAGATGTAGATGGTTTATAGGGATCCTATCATATAAAGATCAGATTCTGAATTTGATCTTGAAGTCAATCTTATTCTCTCTGTCTTCCTTCCCCCCTGCATTCTCTTGCTGTTTTAGTTTGTCTCCTTTCTTATTAACTGGCTTTTCTGTAGTTGTCCTGATGCTGATCAGTTTTTCCTAATGCTTGCAGTTTTTGATTCAACAATCATGCTTCTGGAAGATTGAATTCTTCGCCCCCATTCTTCATCCTTCCCTGATCTGTGTTCCTTCCACTAAAGGTTGGCTGTCTGTCTGTCTCCTTCCCTCGGTTTTGGTCTTGGCCATTGACTTGCTCTGGCTAATGGCCCGTGGGCAGTTCTGAACCTAGGCCTTTTTTCTGCTCAGCCCTCTTGTACCTCTGCCATTGCCACAGAAAGAAAATATCATGGTTAGCCCATTAGTGCAGGGAAAATAAGAGCAGCCTCATCCAGCCTATAGCTTATGGTCACTTAGCTGAGTTCAGCTAAAATGAGCAGAGCCATGCCAGCCAGCCACAAAGACGCTGTAACATAGTAGGACACTTATGTTTACAATGAGCCTTTACAGCTATTCAAGTGACATTCTGAGAGAGAGGATCATACTACGCTCTACTACAGGGAAGTGTCTTAGGTGGCTGGGTGTCTTTTATAGAAGAGGGAAGGAGCTCCTTTCCTCCCTAGGGACTGGAAATTAAAGATGCTAAATGTTGTAGTAGAGAAGAATGAGTAAGAAGAAACTGACTTCCAGGGTAGGAAGAAACTCCTTCCTCAGGAGGCCATGAGCAGGAAATGACACCCACAGCAGCCCTGCTCCCGCAGAAAGCAGCTCCAGTGGGGTACAGCTCACCCCAGCATATGTCCACTGCCCATTTGGCCAGTGCCTGGCGAAGCCATGACTGAGACAGAAGAATTGGCCCCTGAGTCCAGGCCTAACCACCTACCCCTTCAGGCTGTTATGATTTCTTTCCTTCTCACTTGAGTAACTAGCTCTTAAATGGGCTCAAAGATATTGCCTGCATACACTGAGTGAGCTCTTTTTTCTGTTGACTCAAAAGATAAAAAGAGGTTGGGCCGGCCTGGTGGCACACTGGAGAGGGTGCCGCTTGGGAGCGTGCCGGCGCTCCTGCCGAGGGTTTGGATCCCATGTGGAGACCGGTTCCCGCTCACTGGCTGAGTGCAGTGCAGGCACAACACCGAGGGTTGCGATCCCGTTGCCGGTCCACGGTACGGGCGCGACACAAAGGGTTGCGATCCCGTTACCGGTCAGTAAAAAAAAGACAAAAAGGAAAAAAAAAAAAGAGGTTTTCTTTATTTTTCTGAATATGGTCATACCTACCTGAATGATAAACTAGCTCTAATTCTTACACCTCACTCCAATGATCAATTTAGCCAGGACTGAGTCTCAGTTTAAGACTCTGGCCTCCAATATAATGGCTCATCCTGCAGGCAAAGATACCTACCACCTACTGAACCCTAATAGCAGCATACGAGGACACTCAAAAGTTCGTGGAAAAATAGAATTAAAAGATAATACAAATCTTACCACAAACTTTTTGAAGTTCCCTCATATTTGTATTCAAACCAAGGTGAAACTGTCAATCTGATTGGAAGACATGCTTTCCAATGCCATTTAAGAAAAATAGAAAAGGTCATATAACTAACTTTATCCTATTTTCCAAATCCTTTTTGTCTTCTATCTATAATAACACCTACTAGGTATATGTATAACAAGTAAGATGAGAGGAAGCAGAAACTGACTTCCAAGGTAGGAAGAAACTCCTGTCAACATCATGGTTGAGGACCAGTTCGTGTTTATATGATATAAGTAACTAGTAACAGTTTAGCCTTCACCCTTTGTATTCTAAGAAGGTATGTTTGTGTGCTCCCCGCCCCCCCACATCCACATCCAGTCCAGCAACGATCTACCAAGCCGCCCGAAGCCCCCTGGTGTTCCCTGAGGGAATGAGGGGGGTACCATGGGCCTCAACCATGCCTCCCCCTTCCTCCTCCTGCCACTGAATCCCCCTGCCCCTTCTCCTCTCCCCCTCCCCCCAACTGCTCCACATCTTAGAATGTAAATAATAATTAATTAATTAATTAATAAAAAGAAAGTGTGTTTGTATACACAAATACGTGTATATATATGCCCTATATATATATGTATATGTCCACACATACACACCACACATAAACATTTTTCTTGGCCAGTTTTTGCCACAAGCAAATTTAGCCAAGCTGCTCTGAAAGCTCTTTAAGGGACATCAGGACCTACGCAAAGTAGGGACACAGGCTGAGGTATACCTTTAGGGTTTACAGTCTGTCTGCTTTTCCCTTTAGTGACACTACTGGGGTCCTATGAGTGCCTTTAGAGTCTTCAATTGCTCTTAGGTATAAATAACTGATTGCAGTTTAGCTATTACCCTTTGTACTTTAAAAGAGCTCATAACCCCAGGAGGAAGAGATGAAGCTCCGGAGGGTGAGACTGCAGGCAGAATTTGCTGGGATGGGCTGGAGGGGTAGATTTGATTCTAAGGCGTCTGCACTCTCCACCTTCCACCCCATCTCATATCTCTGGCTTGGTTTCCTGGGACCCGGGATGGCTACAGTTCCCAAGTGGAAACCTACATTTCTGCTCCTGTATGAGCCTGGCTAGCCACTGGCCACAGGCTGGTCACTTATCTCCCAGACTGAAATGGTCGGGCCCTGGATGAGAACCATAAGGGGAAGCAAACAGCCCTCGGAGCTGGGAAAGGAGACCATACCCAGTCAACTCCTAGAGCGCAGGCGCATCACCTGCAGCGGCGCCTTCCTTCCACGCCCCCTACTCTCCATTTCCACTCCAAGACCCTACAGTCTCCCCATTTCAAATTGATCAAACGCAGAATAGCTGAAAACAGACCCACTAAAGCAGCAATAACAGCTAACCGCTGACCCAAAGGAGGAAAAAGACAAAAGCTGATGTAAGAACTCCAAAGGGGGCCCGTAGTGAAGGGGCCAGCGGCTCCTAACGCCCCAGTGGCCCATGAGGCCCTCCCTGCGCCGTATCAAAGCCCCGCCCAATCGTGAGTGCTCGGAGTCACAGCGCCGGCGGCGTCGGGAAACGCCCCCTGCAGGGGCGTGGCGAGCACTGCACCGGGAGTCCCCCGCCTACCTGCGCACGTTCTCCTCCAGCCGCCTCACTCTGACCTCGTCCTCCTCAGACTGCCTCCTCCTGGCTTCCTCCTCCTCGGCCGTCCCGGCGGGTACGCCCTGCAGCAGCCATTTTTCCCGAAGCACTTTGGACTGTGGGAATGAGGGAAGACGACAGACAAGATGACACTTTTCAGTCCACACCCTCCTCTGCGCCCGCGCAGCAGCTCCCTGACTCGGCTCCCTGCGACCCTCCGGCCCGACCCCCCAGAGCCGCCAGAGGCATTTACTTCTACACTGTCTATGATTGTAAAAAACGAAGAAACAGAAGAACAGAGTGAACTGTATAAGGAATTCCCATGTTACTCATCTAGATTTCAAAATTATAAACACTTAACCATATTTTCCTTTATATTTTGTCACCAAAGCATCTTCAAGTAAAGAACAAACACCGTGACATTTTACCCATCAATATTTCAGGATAAGTCTCTAAAAAAATAAGGACATTTTTTTCTACGGAACTACCGTTCCATTATAAAATTTCCTAAGATCACCTAATATCCAGTCCCCATCAAAGTGCTCTTTGTAAAAGATTACTCTGTGCCCTGTAATGACTCCCAACCGTCCTCAGCGGTGGCCTCCAAATGCGATTAAAACCATACACCCCACCTGGACCAGTGTACTAATACACTGAGGATGAAATAAAAAGGTTTTTGCTTCAGGGCCGGCCCCGTGACTCACTCGGGAGGGTGCAGCGCTGGTAGCGCCGAGGCCGCGAGTTCGGATCCTATATAGGGATGGCCGGTGCGCTCACTGGCTGAGCGCGGTGCAGACCACACCATGCCGAGGGTTGCAATCCCCTTACCAATCAAAAAAAAAAAAAAAAAAAAAAGTTTTTGCTTCAGGTCCACGGTTGGGAGGAAGCAATTACTGCTTTGAGAAAGGAGATGAAAACAGAATATGGGAAAGGCCTACTGAAAGTCCCTGAAATGAAGAGCAGGGAGAGGTAGGTGTGGGAGGAGGGTTTTGATTTGGGTTTCCACTTACATGGCCCCGGGATGGCAGATGGCAGCTGCAGAATGTCTGCAGAGACTGGACCCTGCCCATCATGGCTGAGGGCCAGTGAGAGTGCCCATACATAGGTTAGTGGTCAAGGGAATGGGTCACTGTGGGGACTCAGGGCACAGGACCGATTCTTCCCAGCAACAGTGGGCAACCAGAGGAACAATGGGAATAACGCTATGAAGCCGGCCAACCCAGAGTAAGGACTGGGCTCCCTCGTTCCCTG